GATCCTTTGGGGAGAAGGAGAAAATAAACAAGCCCTGATATACTATATTTTACCCATTATGTCTGCTGAGGAATTAGGGTCAGGACCCAGCAAGGTTGCACTATCTCCTGGTGTGTGTTTCAGTTCAGGTGGAGCGAACTTCCTCTTAGGTGGGTCATTTCCTCCTCGCCTTTCACATTCTAAGCTGCATTAAGATGACAAATTTCACTTAGTGACTGGGGCACAGACTTTTGAAAGCCTGAGCTATCCAGCTAACTGAGTGCAGAAAAGTCTATTTATTGTGGGGAGAAAGGGAGCGTTGGAAGAGCACAAGATATTTTTTTAAAGAATTACTATTATTTTTTAAAAATTTTGACCAGAGAGTGAGAAGGGAAAAATGAGAAAGCAAGCTGCCGGTCTAGGACTCGAACCGTAGTTGACCATGTTGGAGTCTAGCGCCTTAACCCCCACATTACCTGCCAAAGAGCACAAGAGGTTTTGAGAGCCCAGCCCTGCGTCAGAGCACACACAGCATAGCTGTGACTTTGTCCCTAAACACAGGCTCCCTGCTTTTAAGCCTCATTGCATTTTGCATGGGTAGAATAGAAAAGCTGAAGTGTTAGAACTTTCTTTAAAGCCCCTTCTGCTCCCCAGGTTTTGTAGTTCACAGATGAAACTATTTCAGAACTAACCTTAGAGGGGGTTTTGCAGACCTAGTTAGGGCGAACTAAGCAGAATCGAGTTCTCATGTTGTTTTCTTTCCATGAACTCGGCCCCAAAATACTTCTCGTCTTCTACCCTGGCTTTTGGAGTGGGGGAGACTTTTGGACAGCAGAGTGCTCGCCCATCAGATCAAACATGACTGCGTTAAATACTAAAATGTTCAAAGTCCGACGGAGATAGATAAAGGCTTTGATGGAAAGTGGATATATCCCAGGGACATTACGAGCAATAATCCAGATGTTACGGCGTAATGCAACGAGTGTCCGTGGATAGATCAGGAGCCCCAGCCAAGCCGCGCCTGACACAGACTTTAGCTTTGCCCTCCCATGCTGTTTGGCCATATGGAACCCATCTCCAGGCCCCCTTAATAACCAGCTTCAGATTCCATTTTCACAAAGCTCATAGAGCTAAGTGGGGCTGTTTTATGGACAAGTGAGATAGAAGCCTTTCCAAGATAAACATCCAATTCGAAATTAGGACATAACATGCTGCAAAATTATTTTAGGGCATTTTTCATGGACAGGCTGCCATTTTTCTTAGGCAGTTGCCAGACTGTAGGATGCCCTTTGATCCTTTGTGGACATTACTCCCTTCTTTATAAAAAGGATTTTGAAATAGTTGCAGTGTTGAGGGAGGAATATATCTGTCGGAACTTTGAAGCATGGCCGTGGGACAGGGCAGGCTTTAGCTAGTTATTTGGAAAGTCAAACTTTTAAGAAGAATAAAAGCCAAAAGAAAAAACAAAAAGGAATGGTAGCAGATACGTGAATCAAAAACTCATTTTCGTTTTGCAAGGTAGAAGTGTCCAGCCTGTGTACTTAATAATCTATAAAATGGAATAAGTAATCTTCGTCTATCTAGCCAAATAGGAGCAGTCCTCAGACAGTTCTTGGAAGATGGAAAAACAGTGCATGGATTTCAACTTTGCACCAACATAAACTTGTTCTTGAGTTCCATTTTTCGCAGCTTTTTTGGAAGTCCCTGGTACAGTTACACATGCATATTTGATGGTGCGTGTTGCTTTCAACAAAGCTAAAGTCTCTTGACTCTTTCATAAACCTTCATTACTGAGTGTATTCTGTCTAGAACCTGACTGCAAATAGGAATTAAGAGAGAATGATTAATATCTGCCCAGAGGAGAGGAAATTATTTTTCTTTTAAAAATGAATTTCATTCGTCCTTCCTGCGGTGCTTCAGCACCTCAAAAATCTGCGTGCGTGCATGCGTGTGTGTGTGTGTGTGTGTTTCAACGGAAAAACAAGACGGATGTGAAGTTTAGAAATCTGTATTTCCGTAAATGTATTTTGTTTAAGGTAGTCATAAGACGATGAACGCGATGCCTAGAGTGGCATTGTTTGGTCATTTATGAAGAATGGTGGGGTGGCGGTGGGTTGGATGAGGTAAGCTGGTCTATAATTAATACGATACTGACACACCATTTCTTGTGATAAATTGTAACGAATGGCTGTCGGAGAAAATTGGTGTCGAAATGATCTCCAAGATGTAGTGAGCCGGTGACAGGCCTGAATATATAGTGTTCGAAATTCATTGCTCTACTATGCCGCGTAGTGCCATTTACATTCTTGAGTCCATTTATTTCTCCGTCAAATAAAGAAGGTCTACGCATGTGCCATTTCATTTATTGAACGGAGGACATAAATGAACTCTACCAACTAAATGCAGGGTGGGGGTCTTGAGGGATCCTCACTCACTCGAACTAACCATAAAAAAAAACCTTTCCGAGACCATCGGGGAAGCGTGACTCTGCCCTGGGTCTTTGACGATACTCAGGAAATCAGGATTAATTTTGTAGAGTGTCATTATGGAGTGTTGCATAGGTAAACGCACATGGGGGTTTGGCATTAAAAATATTTCAGCCAGAAAACAAGTGAAAAAGGGAAGGATGACATCAGATTGGCAAAATGGTGACTCCGGTGAATAAATGCATGGGGATTTCTTACATTGTCTCTTTACTTCGCTGTGTATTTGAACACTGATATAATAGAAATGCAAAATGCATAAAAGGTGCTATCTTTCTCATTTAAGAATGGGATGTTGGTCTTTTTTTTTTTTTCCTCCTGTGTTCTGTTTCAGGTGAGTGTAAGTGTGTGTGAGTAATGTAATTTAGAAAAGGAGAAAAATGATATGTTAGCAGTTACTGAACCCCCACTGGGTCCCAGGCACTGTGAGATGTACTTTGTATTTCCCCCCTTCCCAGTCTACTCCACCTGCCAGATCTGCAAATCTCATTTGACCAGTTAGCCCATTACAGGCTGTATGTGAAGTCGTGAGTCTCACAGTTAGTGTTGGGCTTTTTAGTCGGAGCCCAAGGAATATGGGGAAGTGGGAATAGATTCAAATGTGAAGGATACATTCAAAGCCATTATTTCGAAATGCCCAGAGGTATTTTGTTTCCCTGTGAAGTAATGCCTTGTTCTTATATCTCTCTTTCCCAGAATGCTGTTCTTCCCTTCTTGACTATGAAAATTGCCGAAGGCCTAGTTTAAGGATTCTCACCAAAGAGCCCATCTGGGTGGGAGTATAGGGTCTTGGCAAATCAAAGCATTGCATATATTCACCCTTGGCTGTATTATTACAAGTCCACAGCCGGGAAAGGAAGTCACGTAGCTATGACAGTAGGTTTGCAAAACCCATGAAGAAGAATACTTCTGGGAGTGATTTTTCTAAACAAATATTGAAAGCTAGAATTCCCCTGATCACCAAAGGGACACTCAAGAATCACCAGCAAGTTTATATGACATTTTCACTTTTTGTTTTAGTCGTCTTTGATACGCAGCCTACGACTCTCAGAGTCTTTGAAAAAGAACCAGCTCTGGAATGGGATTATAAGTATAACTTTGTTGGAAGGAAAGAACGTCTCAGGAGGAAACATGACAGAGATGTTTGTCCAGTTAAAACTGGGAGATCAGAGGTACAAAAGTAAGGTAAGTCTATCCATTCTGTCAGGAGGACACTACCTTGATGAGGAACAACAACCAAAAACTGGGCTTCCAGTCTCAATGTCACGAGAATAGAAGTAGTTTCATTTTAGACCTTCCAACTATATTCAGGAGAGTTCCAGCAAACAAAATAATTGTGTAGATGCAGTCAATTAGCATAGGCATTGCTTTGATTGCTAACTAGAATTTATTTTAATATTGTAACATGGCTACAGAAAGCTTATTTGCGTATATATTTGAGTGAATAATTTAGTTTCATTTTGAAATTAAGCAAACTGCACTTCACGTACAGGAAAAAGATAACCGAATGCAAAATTGTACAAAATTAATGGCATAATACATGGTGTTTGAAACAACTCAAATTATTTTCAAAAAGTATATGCCCTTTGCTTTTTGTTAGGTTTACTACTAAAATTCTAGTGCTGCCAGTTTTTTTCCCATGTTTTAAAAAAAGAAAAAAACAGCAAATTAGAGTATGAAGTGATTTCTTTTAAACAAAAATAATGGTATTTTCAACTGTCTTTTAAAATAATTCATCTTATTCTGCCGATCCAAATTCCATTTAGTTTTTAATCTTAGAACTTTGACGTGGATTTTATTTCAAAAACCATCGTCTCCAAACCATGATAATGAATTAGTTTTACATAACTATCAGACAGGACTATTTTCTATGTTTTATGCATTGAGAGAACTAGATGACTTGAAAGTTAAGTTACTTGCCAAAAGCCACATTAAAAAAAAAAAAATCAGTGGAAGATTTTGAAACTAGACTTTAAGATATTCGTAGTTCAGGCTTTCTAGCATCGTGGTTATAACCGACGCAGACAAGTTCAAAAATGACTGAAGGAGGGGTGAGGTGTGCATTGCAAAATGATCAGGGCAGAATCCAATATTAAATGTCAGGAACTCTAATACAGGTGGATAGAGAATCACATTGATACGTTCATAAGCACTGTGAAAAATAGAAAGTGAATTGCATCAGAAATTTGCAAAGAATTATTTTAATCAGGTAGTTTCAGGCTATACTTTACAGCTTGCGTAGCCAGGGGAGCCATGTCTCTCTGCTAGGATTCCTTTATCCAACCAGGATCAGGCTGAGGATTTCTGGGAAAATTATTTGTCACTGAGCACACTTAGCCCTTTGGACTAAGGTGAAGTACGCAGTTAGTCCAATATCTGCTACATTTTCCCTGTGGGGAATATGGCATTTACTTTGCAGTCTAACAGGGTTATTGTTTTTTGTTTTTTCGCTTGCTGATTTCTAAATTCTGTGATCTGATCTATTAAGCCTGATGGCCAAGGTCTGAATTGTTCCTGATTTTCTTGTGCCTTGATAGTTGCTGCTAAGATTTAATGATGCTGTGCTCTTAGAGTCTGATACTCTGAGACCAGTACCTTTGCTCACTTTTTAATTCACGAATTTATATGTAAATGCAACAAACCAAAAGTCCTGCCAAGGACGAGAATGCATAAACCCTTTGCAATGGCCTTTGGAGAATACAGAAACCCACGTGGGGGATTTTCAGAGCACTCCTAATTTTTTGGTTTGGCTAAATTTTTTTGGAAAGACTATTTCTCCCACCCTGGATTCAGTAACTCCCGATTTAAAAATAATGCACCTGACAGATGTTAATTAGGACCCCAAAGTGTTAAATTACCTAGTTGTTAACCACTGAATGTAGCCAGCAGTGAGAATGTCACCTGTATTTAATTAACCAACTCGTGTAATCTTCTGTAAGAGAGAACAATTGCGAAATATCTATTTCTACATATCCTTAATCTGTCGGTGTGTTTCTTAAACTGTTTTCTTGTGCGATAACAGTATTATTTGTAACTTGGATAAATGATCGGACCTGCAGGCCAGCTAAATAAGCAGTGATATTTTGCCAGTCCCCGAGCCCGCAAAGTCCCTTTTATTCCGAAAAGGAAACCTTAACTGTGTGAAGGGGCAGGGTCCCTCCTAAGGTTTAGAAATGAAATGACTGTGTAGCTGCTATAGCAACAAATGCCGTTTTAAGAAAATAAATATTATAACTGCATGTTTTCTAGACACTGTGTAAGAGTGCAAATCCGCAATGGCAGGAACAGTTTGACTTTCACTACTTCTCTGACAGGATGGGCATTTTGGACATCGAAGTGTGGGGAAAAGACGGCAAAAAGCATGAGGAACGCTTAGGCACGTGAGTCACGTGGCTTCCGAGTGGCGGGGGTGCTCTTCTGTTGGGGGTTGGTTCTGAGAAGGGTATCTGTGTCACATCTCGGGGAGTCATCAGTAAACGGTGTAGCCAGTCCTCCCCGGAACACAGTCTGCTTTTGTTTTTGTTTTTTTTTTCATTTTCATTTTTGTTTCTTTCTGTTTTTCACTTGGTAAATATCATTCGGGATGAGTTAAAACAGAAGAAAATCGCATGTGTCAAATTCTGTACAGAAAAAGCGTGTGCTGTCTCACATGTTGGGGACATGTTCATGTAAATTTTCTATACACGGGGATCAGCTGATGGCGTAATGGTTATGTTTCTGGACTTCTACATAGTTGTCTATGGTTCGAGTCCCCGACCCGGCTATTTAAAACTCACACTGGGTGCCTCTGTGCGTGTGTGTGTTTGTGTGTGTGTATGTGTTTATTCAAGCTCCCGAGAGAACGGAGGAGAAGGGATTGCAGCATGGACATCCCCCCCACGCAGGGGGTGATTTCTCACTTTCTGACTCTCTGTCTCTGTCTCTCTGGCAAGTACACATGCCCTATGGCAAAAATCTCTCTTAAAAAAATGTATTGGGGGCAGCAGGTGGTGTAGTGGTTAAGATCAGTGGGGGCCCCCACATGGCTGACCATGGTTTGAGTCCTGGACCTGGTGGCTTGCTTTGCCACTTTCTCTTTCCTTCTATCCCTCTCTGGTCAAATTTTAAAAGCTAAATAAATAGTTAAAAATTTTTAAAAATTTATTTTCCATATACCCCATAATTTAGATTTTGCTAATAATTTGGTAGGAATATAAATGCAATGTCATATAATTTGGTGAGAATGTAAATGAAATACCATGTAATTTGGTAGGAATATATTTGGTAGGAATGTAAACGTTCCATAATGGGAAGTTTCCAGTGCCCTCGATGTACTTGATATAGTGAAATCACAGAAGCCAAATCTTTTTTTTTCCCTTTCCCTGAGTCACGTGGCTGCCGAGTGGCGGGGGTGCTCTTCTGTTGGGGGTTGGTTCTGAGAAGGGTATCTGTGTCACATCTCGGAGTCATCAGTAAACGGTGTAGCCAGTCCTCCCCGGAACACAGTCTGCTTTTGTTTTTGTTTTTTTTTTCATTTTCATTTTTGTTTCTTTCTGTTTTTCACTTGGTAAATATCATTCGGGATGAGTTAAAACAGAAGAAAATCGCATGTGTCAAATTCTGTACAGAAAAAGCGTGTGCTGTCTCACATGTTGGGGACATGTTCATGTAAATTTTCTATACACGGGGATCAGCTGATGGCGTAATGGTTATGTTTCTGGACTTCTACATAGTTGTCTATGGTTCGAGTCCCCGACCCGGCTATTTAAAACTCACACTGGGTGCCTCTGTGCGTGTGTGTGTTTGTGTGTGTGTATGTGTTTATTCAAGCTCCCGAGAGAACGGAGGAGAAGGGATTGCAGCATGGACATCCCCCCCACGCAGGGGGTGATTTCTCACTTTCTGACTCTCTGTCTCTGTCTCTCTGGCAAGTACACATGCCCTATGGCAAAAATCTCTCTTAAAAAAATGTATTGGGGGCAGCAGGTGGTGTAGTGGTTAAGATCAGTGGGGGCCCCCACATGGCTGACCATGGTTTGAGTCCTGGACCTGGTGGCTTGCTTTGCCACTTTCTCTTTCCTTCTATCCCTCTCTGGTCAAATTTTAAAAGCTAAATAAATAGTTAAAAAATTTTAAAAATTTATTTTCCATATACCCCATAATTTAGATTTTGCTAATAATTTGGTAGGAATATAAATGCAATGTCATATAATTTGGTGAGAATGTAAATGAAATACCATGTAATTTGGTAGGAATATATTTGGTAGGAATGTAAACGTTCCATAATGGGAAGTTTCCAGTGCCCTCGATGTACTTGATATAGTGAAATCACAGAAGCCAAATCTTTTTTTTTCCCTTTCCCTTCATTTCATTACTTTGGACCCTCCTCACTTCATTCCGAGCCCTAACATAAGCATTACCGTGCCTTCATTGGGTTGTAATGAGGATCATGATGAAGCGAGGTTGTCCGTGCTCTGGGAGTGTCCTCCAGCAAGCACGAAGGACAGATCACTGACCTCGAGGACAGCCCTGAGAGTCAGTGGTGTTTATACCCCTTTCCCAGACCAGGACATGGAATGCAACGAGTTTACAGATGACGTGGCCGTGGGCTTAGTAAGTTCCAGTCAGGATCCTGTGTTTTCAAAGTCCAACTTCTTTCCATGAAATCACTGCTCCTCTTCGGTCCCCTAGTCACATAATACAGACACAAATTTAGATGTAGAAGGAAGATGTTTGAAGGGATCCCTACAGCGTCATCTTCAAACCTGGAACCTGGGTTCGAGAAGATGCCTGGTGGTTCTCTCGTGGGGAAAGGGAGGGCCCCCTGGAGCTCAGACCACCTCATCATTGTCCTCAATACAGGGCTTCCATTGGAGGAAAGGATTTTCTTGCTAAAATCTTGAGCTTGGAAACCTCTTGTCTCGTAGAACCTCTGCATTTTAGGTGTGAAGCAATGTCAAGGCCTTGGGGGGGGGTGAGATGTTTCCCAGCACCTAGGAATTTAGTGTCTTTTAAGAATTATTTTATTTAACTTTATTTATTTACTTATTTTTATTCAACCAGAGAGGGATGGAGTGAATGAGTGAGTTAGAGAGAGAGAGAGAGAAAATGAGAAAGCAAACCGCCAGGTCCGGGACTCGAACTGTGGTCAGCCATGTGGGAGTCCAGCACCCTTAACCACCATGCCACCTGCCAGCCCCATGTAGTGCTTGTTCTTGATGACTACTTAGCACAGTCCCAGAGTGTTTAGTCAGTTTCCTGTTGTTGCCCCAGCCCACCTCAGTATCCTGGGATTGATTGGTTGGGACGTGGTACCATGGAACATTCCCCAGCACTGCTCAGCCGTGGTTCCTGTTGTATGGGCTTGTCCTAGCATCTGGCAGGACGTTCAGCAAACCTGGCTTTCACTTTCCAGCAGCCGGCAGCTTTCCCTGATCACTGCGTGCAGTGCAACACGTATTTTGCATGCATGCACACACATGCAGTATACTCACCTTGAGACTGCTGCACCTCCTCCTCCACCTGTGGTCACCCGGGCTGCATAGCTTGTTGGTCTCCTTGGTCCCTGTTCTCTGCCAATCTAGTAAGTAGCAGTCTGTGTTTGCTTGGCATTCTAGACCGGGGCTGTGCCTTCAGGCAATAAACTGCTTCATGCCACACCCCTAGTTATTGCAGGAGTTCTTCCCAGGGCCTAGCATCTCACAGACTCTGCCTGCGAAATTACTGGTCTCTCCCTCCTCCTCCCACACAGGGTAACTGAGAGACCTCAGATACTTCTCGGTACCTCTGATATTGTCAGCTCTGTGATATACAGGGACCCTCCCAAAGCTGATGGCAGGAGGGTCAGAACCGCATGCTAGCCCGGGGAGCATGCATATATTATGCACATGCAGGGAATTTAGAGTTCCAGGGTGATATCGAAACAGTGGGATTCAGGACATCCCAGGAGGAATGGCCGGTGTGCTGTGAATGGGTGCACCTAACTCCCTTGAGCTGCTTGTATCATTGTACTGTCAAGCATCCTCCGTTATCCTAGGAAACAGTTTTCCAAATGAGCGTTGGGTTATTTCACTGAAACAAGAAGAATCGAAGATGCCCTTTGTACTCCGTGTTTTGTCATTTGGGTATTCATTCATTATTGGAGCTATTTCCCGTTTATCACAAAGCGTACCTGCCTTAGCACTTACTCAGTCCTTCCTCTTTGTGATTATTTCCCCCCAGAGAGGTTGTTAACTTAGAGCATATACACTCCCAGAGAGAGAGAGTGGTAGTGAGAGGGAAAGTAAAAAATCACTCCCTGGAGGAATGGCCACACCACAATCCCTTCTCTTGGGATTTTGGGCATGCATGCATGCACATGTGCCCAGGGTGATTTTCAAGCCACCCAGTCCAGGACTTGAACTATAAAGCCAGTCTTGTGGGATTCAGTGCCTTAAACTACATAGTACTTTTAAATACTTCAACTTCTTTTATGTTCCCCCCCACCCACCCCGCCCCATGGTCTTTAATTTTTGTTAAGAAAGAGTTTCACTCTGTCCCAATCCTCCTGTGTCAGCCTCCCCAAGGCCTTGAGAATACAGGGGCATGCCACCAGCCCCACCTTTAGGTTGGACCAGGGAGTCGAAGCTGGGATGCACGTGTGGCCCCAGCCTCCAGAGCAAAGTGTCTTAGCGGCACCTGCCACCGCAGCTGCTTCATTCTCGAGAGCACTCTTCATTCTCGAGAGCACTCTTCATTCTCAAGCTCAGCTATTTTATCCTCTGTGTGGCAAAAACACCACTTTGCCTTGGGAGGCTCTCTGACGGTGTCATCGACTCACAATTGTCTCTGAAGAACGGTGTCACATTTTGTTTGTGGATAACACTGTGATGTTAGTAATTCAAAGTTCCGAGGAGGGACCAGCAGTTGGCGTAATGGCTATGTTGTTGGACTCCCATGCAGTCGACCGTGGTTTGAATCCCAGCCCAGGTGGCTTAAACTCATGCCAGATGTGTGTGTGCGTGCCCAAGATCCTGAGGGGAGAATGGAGAAGGGATTGTGGTGTGGCTATCCATCCTTGGGGGGGATTTCTTGCTTTCTGTCTCTCTGTCTCTCTCTGTAACTCTCTGTCTTTTAGTTATAGGGCGCACGCACCCAATAGCTAAAACCTCTCCAAAAAATAAAAAGTTTCGAGGAAATTTTCTGCATTGAACTCTCTTGTCATAGGCAGTTTGGTCTGAGGGAGGGTGCCAGGTTGTGGGTTTCACAGCCAGGCTTGTGGGTAACTGTTGGCTCGCCATGTGTTCCTGAGCAGTACATTCTCTTATGCATGGGGTCTGCCTCAGTATGTGTATAGTGGGGCTCCTGGGCAGCTTGGAGGTCATCGTGACTCCTAATAACAATGTCTATTTGATACTGTCTC